ACCCTCGATTCTGCAGGTTTTCGACCTGCCCGCCTTCAAGACGCCAACCACCAATTTCGAAGACAAGCTGCCGTCGATCGGCCACGATATATCACGCCCGTCCTCAAGCTCGACCGTGGCTTCATACACCCAACAACGGCATGGCAGCAATGCCTCGATCCAGCTGCCTTCGCTGGCGACGCTAGCTTCAGCTGCATCGAACTGCCCCGCAGCGAACATGAACAGTAATGATAATGATAATATGAGGAAAGGGACGCCCGAGAAGAAAATGCCGTCTCCGCTTAGGTATGTTCCATTCGAAAGGCAGGCGGGCTACGAAACAGGTCGTTTTTTGATGAGTCGCGACCCGGCTATACTACATCCTCGAGGTGAACATGGCAATCTATGTTGGAATCCTATCGAGAAAGTAGCAGTGTATGCCTTTGAGGATGCGGTATGGCTGAGATGCGACTGACAAAAAACGTTCGTGCAGCGCTGCGGGTGCCGGCCGTGACTGGCTTATCGCAAACGCCAAGCCTTGCACCACGGACTTTTCAACTCGCCCGCTAACATGGAAACCAGCAAACCCTCTAATGGACTCAGCATGACTTATGCAACTTCTGCGCCCGCAACCGCTGGTGGACAAGCTGGTTCTCCGGTACGTATGATTGTGATCGTTGGTGTTTTAGGTCGAGGCATTTCGCTCTATCATTATGGGCTTATCTCACCTATCGATAACCCTTTGCCCCAGCAACGAGCTCCTGCGTACCATACCTCCTACCGATACTCGTGCTGATTTATTTAGCCCTCGTGCATGAACTGTAGCACCAGCACTACCCCCTTGTGGCGCCGCGATGAAACGGGCGCTGTTCTCTGCAACGCCTGTGGCCTTTTCCTGAAGCTGCACGGCCGGTAAGTTGCGACTGTACAAAATGCATAGGAGATATGTACTGACTTGACATCCTCATCTCTGCAGGCCACGACCTATCTCACTCAAGACCGATGTCATCAAGAGCCGCAACCGCGTGAAGACTGGCGGGCCAGGCGGACGCAAGAGGGTATGCAGGTCATCTCGTAGTCACTGTTACGACTAACACACGACAGACAAGTGACCAAGGTGGTCTTCCTGCCGCGCATCCCGATGCTGATGGCCAGCTAGCCCTCGCCCAGCACCGCCGCGCATCAGGCAAGATCTCTTCAGGCTTATCCGACCGCTCGCAATCGCCTATTTCACGCACCGGCACCCCGAACTTCAACCATCCCTCCAACATCGCACCGTCGCACCTGTTTGAGCAGGCGCTGCATGGTGGTGATTTCCACTCGCCTTCGCTCCCAGGATTCGGTATTCGTGCTCCCTCACCCGCTAACTCGTCGATCAACGGTTCCCATCTCGAAGCTCCTCTCCCATATGAGACTCTCGCCGCACAGAACACTGCACTCAAGACACGTGTCTCGGAAATGGAACTTATCAACGATCTCTTCCGGAACCGCGTTAGCGAACTCGAACAGAGCGAGCAATCAGCGCGGCAGACAGAATCAACCTTAAGACAAGAGCTTGAGGAGATCAAACAGCGGGAGGCCGACCTGAAGAGGCGGCTTGACGAAATCGAAGCCGACAGCCCAAGACACAAGAAGATGAAGATGAGCGAATTCGTGGACGAGAGCCGCGCTGGCACGCCTATTAGTGCTATGGTTGAATAGTCACCATGGGCTCTTGATGAGGCGTTTCCTTTGATTATCTAATGACTGTTTCATGCATGCGGGGAGAGACCGAGTTGCATCTGTCATCTCCCTGCGACGAGAGTTGGGCGTCGACGCCTACTTTGTGCTCGGTCTTTACGACCATCTAATGTCTGAATACCACTTCTTATCACTGTCCCTTGGGGCTTTGATTGTATTGTAATCTTTCTTTTGAGTCTGATACCAAGTGTTGATGCGAGGAGACGTAGCTGCGCTGTTACGGCCGAGATGGGTGGGACGGGCTGGGATGGATGGGATGAGGCGGGAACGGGCCATGCTTACCAAAAGTCTTATATGGGGGTTAGTTTAGTCGCTATTCAATGCGATGCGAGCACTACATTTACTTGCCTTTGTCTCATGTTGTATGTGAGAGCTTGTGCAAACTTAATATGATCACGCACTGGTCTTATAGTCAGAACCACCTGAGTACCAAGACGACGACTGGTCCGTATTCATGGCGGCTGCGTTGAACATCACACTGCAAATATAGTTGTTGGGTGCGTTCACTTTGATTTGTTCAAGCCCACCCACTGATTCTTGCTCATTGCATCCCAGTTTGGGTGGCATTAGGATCTTGTGTCAGGATTGTACTGAGTTCATCTCATCATGATGACTCTTGAACCCTGTTCGCACTCCGAAATATGTGAATGATACCGATACTCAAATATGAGCTTGAGGTTTTTCCTTGTTTGCTTGACTGAACTACCAGTCGTATCGGAAAAAGATCTCCCTGCCGGAAGTATGGTGTCTGTTGTGCCATGGAATACGGTCGACTCGGGCCACATGTTTGCAATGTAAAGAAGTGCAGAGCATAAGAAAGAGTCATATCACAGTAGAGAAGGTTTCTGCAACGTCCTCGTCAACAGATAAATCTAGGCCATGTCTAAACTCAAGCCAAAGAACCTCAATTGACACATTGAGCGTGATGATGTCGACAGTCGGCTCGGTTCTTTCGGTTGATAGTAATGTGGTTTTGAGGTGACTGTAGGTTACGGAAGGCTGGAATGGTCTCCAAGATCTCCCAGCTCAGCACCAAGTCTCATAGAATCTCTCATCTTTCACAGCAATTCCAAAATGCCTTAATTGGCTTCAAGACATTGGTCGAAGTGGTGGTTATCGGGAGTAAACGGGGAGCGCTAACCCGATGTGAGCTCCCGCACGGACTCTTGGCGGCTAATCAACCCTTCAGCGAGTTTTTGCATCCACCTCCTCCATCCTCCTCCCACCACTCCCCATCCATTGAAGGACCAATTCATCTCCAACTCATCTCCACTCCGACCGTCAACACCATCACCATGGTTGCCATCGCTCGCTCCTTCGGCGCCGCCCGCGTGGCCGCCCGCGGCTTCTCCAACGCTGGTATGTCTCGCGCCTGCCGCAGCAGCTCAAGCCATTGGGTTTGAGCTCTGCAAGCTCATCAAGCAGCCATTGACCATCATCTCGCAGCCCGCCAGCCCCAGCAGAGCACCCTCGTCGCTGCCCGCAGTGCCTTCCGCAACAACGCCGCCCGCAACGTCATCCAGAAGCGTGGCATCGTCGCCGAGTCCACCGCTGCCGCCATGGTCGCTGCCGCTAAGATCCAGGGTGCCGGTCTCGCTACCATCGGTCTTGCCGGTGCCGGTGTTGGTATCGGAACGGTTTTCGGTGGTCTCATCCAGGGTGTTGCCCGCAACCCCTCCCTCAGGGGTCAGCTCTTCCAGTACGCCGTTCTCGGTTTCGCCTTCGCTGAGGCCACTGGTCTTTTCGCGCTCATGATGTCCTTCTTGCTCCTCTACGTCGCATAGATGTGTGCATTGCATGGACTGCCGGACATTTGGGGTCAACGGTATGGGGGTGCCGCAAGGTTGAAAACTTTTCTTGCGGATGGGTGTGTGCATAGGGACGACTACTACCTCTTTTCCTACTCTAGTGGCCGGTCAGATTGTGTAAAACATGTACTTTAGACGAGCAATCTGAAGAGCAAGCTACCACCACGGCTCGCTTTCCTTACCCAGCGCACGTGCGGAAGCTCTAGCTATGGTAATGACATGTGCGGATGACTGACGTTAAGCTCAATGAACTCGATTGGACCCTCCTAGACGATACCGAAGCTTGTCAATGCCCGTGCCACGTTCCGTGATGAGCTACTGCTGTTCTAGCTGTCCGATATTGGAACTTGGTCGTGCCAAGCTTTTTGCTCGACTTCAGCTTTAAGCTTGTGGACATTTCATACTGCCTTCCCTTCCACAGCGATAGTAAAGTCCGACTTGATGCTAAGTGCTTGTCGAATTGTTTGTCTTACCTCCCGTCACAGGTATACACATCGATGGCCTACCCCAGAACCCCGCGATTGCCTCGGTACGGCCCACATCACCGGGGGTAAGCTGTAGATGAACCATCGATACAAATCTGGAGTAAGGACGCATTACTTGTTCGATTACAACCCCATATCCACGAATGCTGCTATGCCGCGAGCATGATTGCGATGTTGCTGGTGTTGTTATGATACTAACCGTAGTTTCCCGCGGAAGTCACGGAAACAGGTATGGACTTAAATCACAACGATACTGTTATGGATCTCACTGATAGTTTGTAGCATCAATATTACAACGCAGTCGGCACCACTCGATCGTCCATGAAACGTATATCGCTCGACCTCTTACGACCGCCTTACAGCACCAACGTCCTTCATCCGATCACAATACACGTTGGATACGCATGGTCTGAGATAATGAGGAATGACGCATCTGTGGAATCACAGGGCTGTGGCCATCACAAACGAAGGACTTGACACGGGTGGAATGAAAGCTGTGGCTCCTCATGATGGGACTCACACACTCAATCGCATCGCAACATGGATGGTGGGGCATGTCTGGGGAGCCTCTGTATCTGGATTCAGATTGCTCTGATACGTGATACAGTCACAGAAGAAGCAACGACTGCTGCGCAAGTCGTATGGAGGGACCGAGGCTGCATCGTTTCAGATCTACGTTTGGGCAGATGGTGAGGCTGTTCCCGAAACATGACACAACAATGCTCCAACCTGATTCCGAGAAACCGAAATCGGAAACTAAACAACCCAACTCTTCCTTGCCGACTGCGGGACATGCAATGCTCTCGAACACCGAGATGATGTATGTTCTTACTCGGGTCGTACCACACCGTGAAACTACAGTAGGTTTCGGGACAAGCTTCAACATTTGACGCTGCAAAGCTTAGCTGTCATGTCTCGCTGGCGTCACCACTCTAGCTCATGGTATTTAGCCCTCGGACGCCGTCCTGAGGTCAATTGAGCAATTACTATTCCATCCGTTCTATCATCTTGTAATCTTTGTGCCGGTCACTTCTCTTCTAACAACTCCTATTACAATACACTTGCAATCCTGTTAACCAGTAAACATGCGTTGCACAGCCTTCATCGCCGTTGCTGCTTTCTCCAGCGCAGTCTTCGCTGCTGGTAAGCTTCTATGCCTCTACGGTATGCATGTAACATCGAACGTCCATCTAACATCTCTCAGCCAACCCTCAAGATGACGTTGCGTCCATCCTCGAGGCTCTTCGTGCGAACAACCCGGAAGACGCCGATGCCGCTGCTGCGGCCATGAAGGTCAAGCTCCGCCGTCAGGACGATTTGGACTCTATCCTCGCCGCCCTGGAGGCCAATAACCCCGACGATGCTGCCGCTGCTAAGCAGGCTTCGTCTTCATCTGCCACCAAGCGCCAGGACGACTTGGCTTCCATTTTGGCCGCACTTGAGGCCAATAACCCTGACGACGCCGCGGCCGCTAAGCAGGCTGCACCATCCTCCACTGCCACCTCCACTCCTGTTTCTAAGCGTCAGGACGATGTGGCTTCCATCCTCGCAGCACTCGAGCAAAACAGCCCCGACGATGCCGCGGCTGCGCGCCAGAACATCCAGAAGCGTCAAGACGACGTTGCATCTATTCTTGCAGCACTCGCACAGAACAACCCCGATGATGCCCAGGCAGCTCAGAGCCTTGGAAAGCGATGGATTGCTTAGATGAAGAGGGTCTCGATGGCAAGGTGATGAGCGGGTGCAGCAATTTGATTCGGAAGGTAATAGTTGGGTGTACATAGTTTAGTGCTTTTGACTGACTCTATATGATAAGAAACCTCCAGGCATAATTCTCACTAATGCACTCATTTGGTCTGATTTTGATATTTGCTAAAGAATAATGTTGTTGCTTCTGGTCGAGGAGGTTGCCCCGAATTGGGAGCAGAGACGCAGCCCCTGCTGTACCCCGCATCGAGACAAGAGTCACCACTTGTCACAACGATCTACTTAGCGACTACGTGATACACAGGAAGGCCACGCCCATTTTCGATATCGACTTCTATTATCTATCATCTAATGCCAAATTTTGTCCAGTTTCTCCATCCGACACGATGGCCGAGTGGTCTAAGGCGGTAGATTTAAGCCCCGCTTAGATCTCTACTACAGAAATGTGCGTGGGTTCGAGTACGTTATACCGCACAATGTTACGTTGCGACATATACTAATCCGATATCAGACCCCACTCGTGTCAAAATAAACATTTTTTTTGTTTCCTTTTTGTTTTTGCTCCTTCGCTCGAGAAAGAGATGGTCGGTGTTAAGTGTTAACGTCGAGGACAACACAGCCGATCTTACCAACCAATTTGGCCTGCCTATGCTCCATTAACGGCGAGCATTAGGATGAAGTACAAGAACATTCGTGGCCAAGTACGCTTTTTCTTTCATCTTTGTACTCGACAGAAAGATTATTTGGCCGGTGACAAGGGTTAACGTCAAGGACGACCACGCCCGCACGTACTCATCAACGGCGAGCTTCAGACCAAGGTGAGAAAACTCACGAATGTGTCAAAGAACGGCGGCGTTGATTTTCTAGGCGAAATCGACGGACGGCACAAGAGCATATCACATGTCAGAGGACGCACGACACCACATGGAGAAATTAAGATTGATATGTCCCACACTTGCCCAAACTACCCACTTCTTTTATATCCGCTCCTGCTTCTTAGAGCCTCACCATACCTAGCCAAGACAAACGGTATACACGCACCCAGGATGCTCAAACAGCCGAGCAATGTACAAGCCCACTGGGGGCCCAGTCTTCGAAACATCTGGACTGCAAAGAGGGGAAAGGTTCCACCAAGTACGTACCGCAATATGGCATTCGAGGCCATGGCACTGGCACTGTACAGTGGTCCGTACGCATCAGTAATATACATCATGCATGCCATGAAGATAAGCATATTGCCCATGCCGAAGAAGGCTTCGGCAATGGTTGGCACAATCCAATGTACACGGTAGGCTGCAGACCAGCCAAAGAGGAACAAGCCGATAGTGAGAATGGGCCCACCAGCGAATGCAAGCGGCAAGCGCTTTTCAGGCGCCAGCCGTGATGTTGCAAAGGCCGGAGCTGGCCTCTTCTCTGCAACCGCCTTCCGCACGCGAGGCAGGTAGAAAAGTTTGCTGAACGATACAATGCAAACGGTAGCTACAATGACACCGACACCCAGACTGAGGAATGTAAGACCTGTGGATATGCTATCGAACCCATACTCTGTCTCGAACACATAAGGGAAAGCGGCGAAGAAGGCGTACAGCAAGCCAAAGTTGAAAGCAGAGTACGTGTTGAATGTTGCCACAATCGGCTCCGTGAGCAGCATGTGCATGGGCCGAGTGAGAGTTTTGGTGGCATAGGTGCTGACGACCTTCGGCAACGACATGCCTTCGGTTGGTGATCTTGGGAGCGGAAGATTGCGTTTCTTCGCGCGGCGACGTAGGAGGACGGGTTTGTACGACTCACGGAAGAATGGCGCTGGTGCAATGACGAGAATGATGGTGAAGAAGAGTATCAACCATGACGTCCAGCGCCAGCCACGTGTTTGGGTTACGACAGCACCCAGGATTGGTCCTAATGCTGGGCCAAAGAATGGTGTTGCGACGTAAAGCGACATCGGACCAGAGCGCTTCTCAGGCGGCCAGATATCGCTCAACGTACCTGACCCCATACTCAGACTAGGCGCAGCGAAGAAGCCAGCCCAGAATCTCAGCACCACCAGACTCGCCATACTTTGCACGAAACCTGTGCCTAGGATGAAAAGCGCAAAGATAGGCAAGCTGATGAAGATGAGGGGTCGTCTTCCAAAAGTTTCACTAAGAGGAGCAGCGAACGGTCCACCAAAAGCTAGTCCGAGGGCATATATCGAGTATGCAAATGTCGCGATAAGTTGCGTCGAGCCCAGCTCTGTCGCTGCTTGTTCGATGGCCGGTGTGAAGACGGACGATGCGAATGTCCCCACAAGCGCAACACCGGAGATCGTGTATGTCTGATACCACTTCCTGGCTGCACTCCAGTTATGAGGGTTCAAAGGGTCGTCAGGGCCGTCCCAGTCGAGAGTCGCAGGGCGAACTTGCGATGAAGCCCCATCAGCGATTGGTGTTGCATCTTGATTTGAACACGGCTGAGGTCCTTTCTCAGGATCAGAATCTGACTTCAAGCCCACCTCAGTGGATGGCTGACGACTTCTACCAGGAAGCTTTTCGACATTGACGGGACTTGGTGGCCTTGTTGATGCTGCTGTCGTATCCGACCAGGAAACAGGTCGTGAAGCATTTGGAGTGGCCATGGCGTGAGTCTTTCACTTCACAGAGATGAGAAAATGGAGCTGGCAACAAGTCGACAGAGCTTTCGCGAGACATGAAAAAGACGAATGCGTTTGCGCCATGACTTTAATATGGCCCACCATGGTAAAACTCCGATAAGAAGACTTTCTGCACAGACAACAAGATCTGGCATGAGATGCGATTCTGCAAACTAGATTGGTAGGTCCTGGTAGTGCATCTGGACGATCCTGGCTCCGATCGTTCCAAAGATTGGCATGTTGAGCTTGTTCGGAGTTGAGAAGCGGCTGAATCTAGGGATCGGGTGAAGCTAGAGTTCGGGATCGTGCCGGCGCTGCATCTGAAGCGGGTCTGATGACGATGAACACTGCTTTCTTTTTTCATTCAACCTCAATAGTGCATACACGTCCATTGAACCCACCAAGTCGACCAGAAGTCATTGGTGCCTGTGAATGGAGAACGTGTCTCTACTCTAGTGTGAGTCTCGTGCTTTCAGGGATACTGAAGAAGCATACGAAGAGCCTCACTACTAGCGCACTTGCTCATCGATAGCCGGCGACCTGACTGTTATCGCGCGCCAATGCGATCAGAGACATAGCTCGAGATAGTGTCGCATTCAGCAACGTCTGGCAGCAATTTGATCTGCAAGCGCTCACACGCTGAACAGTTGCGCAATGCCCCGATTCGGCTGGTTTCTCCTCACCAACGTGCTCAGTGTGCTGGCGTAGAATTGCAAGATGCAAAAACGATGGAAACACAGGTAGAAACACAAATGGAGCCAGTTATATTAACCTCTGACAACGTACATCAGGGCTGGCACGATCGTTCATCCGCCCCACTTTTGCTGCGCAGCTAATTGCATGGCCGACCCAACCAATGGCCCTCAAACACCTTCTTTCTGCATAAGCTCTTCTACAACGAAGCTCTGGTAAGCGGGGATGAGTATGCGCAGCACCGTCTGAGCTACTACGTCGCCTCGATATACCTTCTTTTGGTTTGGCAGTTCGCATTCTACAAACGAGCCCAGGCAGCGCGAAACTGGCGCGGTCAGGCATAACTACGCGCTTTTTCGCGTTAGAAATGAAGTCCGTCATCACTATGCGACAGCAACAACCACTCAATTCTGGCTCAAATTTCGGCCTTCGGCATTCGTGGGAGCATTCGCAATCATGAGGAGTTTCAGCGTGTCTTCGGCTCTATCACTTGAGATCGCCCGCACTCTCCTCCCAGCAGTTTGCAAGATCCAACCACGTCGATTGTCGTCAAGCGAATGTGCGCCCTTAGCCCCCTAGTTTGATGCGACACCCCGGATTGGGATCGAAACTGCATAAGATGTCAATTTCTACGCTCTATTGACCGAGATGAATAAATCTGACACACGGTGTTGGCGATCGTCATCTTTTTGTTCATCTACGACAGCGACGCAAATCTCCGCAACGACTCCTGAGTTCAGCTGAGAGTGCGTCGAACATGCTACGCCACTACCACCTGTGGGTCTCGCCTCTCTCCACCGACGAAGAAAAGGATGAAAATCAGGGTTTGAGCAAGTTGAAAGAGAAGACGTCGTTCGATTACTAGTTGTGGCTTTCTCAGATTCCAATCGAACGTGGTTCACATGTTTTGTAGCACATCATAGAAGTATCGAGACTACACAAGAGTCGAGGGAAACGCCATCCAACACCTGACAGAGTATTGTGAGTAACGATCGTCGCATACTGTACTGCGATCGATTAGATACAGGAAGAGTGAGGCACATAACGGCCAACCGCATTGTGCGTCCAGCCTAGTGGATACAGCATATCTTGGCACACATAGCCTCACTTACAACCGCCATTCCTCCCAAACTTCAAGGTCAATCCTGACATCCTAACGCAACAAAGTTAACAATTGACAAATGGCTAAACAAAACATCTCAAGCCAAAGCGACAGAGGCGTAGACAAGAGCGCGCAACGACCGTCGTGCTTTAGCTCTTTCAGCTCTACATCGAGCATCACATTCAAAATCAGGCATAGCGTAGTGGCCTTCCAGGAAAAGATACGATCATTAGATAGTAGGTGAGTAGTTACACTGGATACATAGTGGTTATGGTTGGCCTAACATCATGCAGGCGAATACAGCAGAAGCACCAGCAGGCAGCCGTCCCCTGCTCCAAGCTCCTTACCCTCCCATTCGAAATTCGTCTTATGATATACGACTACGTTTTTACTGCACGCGATGCTACCTACTCTGATATCCGTCTTATTTCTTCCCAGAATATCTATCCAAATGTGTTCTGGAATGCCAAGATGCCACGCGGATATTATATCAAAGGTCATCCTTGTATAGGCGAGGAAATGCTCGAGTTTACAAGAGCTTCCTCAGGCTTAGCTGCTCTAAACACCGAAGGTATTGCGATTGGCAAACGACACGAGGACGTAGATATACTATATCAAGAGGCCCAGCTTGGGGTAATGGCTTTGATGTTGACCTGTCGTGCGCTGTAAGTCTTGAAACTTGTATACAGAAGAAAGAGCACTGACACTGACAGATACCACGAGATGCTTGACATTTTCTACGCGCACCGGACCTGGCAGTTCAACGACCTTGACACTCTCGTCATTGCTGCGGAACATATCCCGATGCGACATTTTAACAATATCCGCTCTCTATACCTTAACGCAAGCCACCTCCCTCGATATGCAGATTTTACAGGCTACATTTGGGGCTTACCCCGCGAGTATCAACAAAGGTTTAGACACTTGGCTCCTCCCTCAAGGTCGCTGATATCGCGCGTATCGCGTGCTATCGATACCAGATTGGTTGACACCGGAGACATTCGCAAATGGCAGGCAGTCTGTGATACAATAGCTCGGATGGAGTCGCTTAAGAAACTGCGAATAACCTTGTGTGAGCAAGCTTTCATTGTGGTATTAGAGAGCAGACGACCGAGTGTACAAATCACGAAGGAGTCATTCGTGTTCGCCCCGTTGACTGGGATTGGGAAGGGAAGAGACCTAGAGGTATTCGAGGTCAGGGTTGACTGGCCTGTCGGCGATGACGATGCGTGGTCTGAGGAAGCAGAGAAGGGGTTTAATTTGATAAGGCTTGCCGGGGAGTCGCATCCAGGACTGCAATAATCCGTGTCGCGTATGACGTCGCCTAAAGATGTGACACCTATCGTTGCCAACCTAGATAGTCGTCGGTTGCAATGCGGTATTTCTTTCCAGACCGGCATGCTGCCTTCTCGAAATGAAAGAAAGGGGATCAAATCACAAGATTATAGTGGATAAACGTTGCACTACAACGCCGAACAATGCTATTGTTTGCGCCTCGAAGAAGAAAAAGCCAAAAGAGCAGACGAGCTACATAAATGACGTGAAAATAATACACTACTACCATGACACCTCGATCCTTACACTATTGTCCTAAACTATGCACCTCTACCACATCTTTACTGGACATCGAGAAGCTGCTTCAACTGTACAATCAACTTCCACTCGTCCTGGCTAACGTCGCTCCTGAAGAACTCCTTGAGTGTATCGATACTCTTCCGGCTAATAGCAGAATACAGAATATCGTCTTCTTCCAAGTGGCGACCGTACATGGGCTGATTGTTACCCTCGATCTTGACGGCGACGGAGGGTTGACCCCTCTTGCATATTTGCATGGGTTTGTGGTCACGCTCGATAGAAGTGCTATTGAACGAATTAGTAAAGGGTGTAGTAGTAGAAGAAAAGCAAACTTACACTCTTCCTAGATTGACGATTTCCTTGGCACCAGTGACAGCGTTCTTCTTGACCGCGCAGATGGGCGTTGTCATCCTCAGAGCACCTTCAGTAACATCCACACCAATAATGATAGGATCCTTCTTGTTGAAAACAGCGACCGGCTTGAGTACGCAAGGGAAGACTGCCAGCATCTTTGACTCCTCCTTCCGCTGCTCCTCAAGCTGCTTCATGTGCGCTGTGAACTTGTCGAACAAGTGGTAGATGATGTCAGCTTCGAAAATCTTAACACCGATCTCCTCTGCATACGCTTTGGCTTCCTTGTCAACCTTGACATCGAAGCACAGCATGACGGCGTATTCTCTGGCCTTTTCTAACATGATACCGGCTCGAAGAACGTCCTTCCTGAAAACCGGACCAATGGAAATAGTAGCCACAGGAATCTTTGAGACACGCAAGAACTCGAGGAGCGCTTCGAGCGAACCCAGAGTGGATGCTTGGACAGAGACACCACGACCAGTCTTGGAAACCTTACTGAGCAAGTGTGCTAGATCGCCCATGACTTCGTCCATGAGGTCCTCCTCGTCATCGTTAGGACCGACGACAAGTAGACGCGAACCGGCGATGGCTTGGTCGAGTCCATCAGCAGCGATTTTGATACCCATGGCAGCCTTGACCTCCTTGTTGTGCACGTATTGTGACTTGACACGTAGCTCCTTCATCTCAGCCGGCGTCAATAGCGCTCGAATGTTAGTAACTATAGGTTCTGGATTACCACACAGCACTATGCGGTCGCCTTCGTGAAGAACACCGTTGGACAAGATAACATCTATAGTGGTACCGAGACCTTCGATGACCTTGACTTCAAGCACAGTACACTCAACCTCTGAAAGATACATGAGGTTGTTCGTAAGGCGCTCTTGCGTAAGCTTGACAATAAGCTTGATCATATCAGGGATACCTTCTCCGGTATGCGCTGATGTTGGGCATACGGAGACGTACTTGGACATGTTCTTGTTTCTGTTGAAGATCTCAGAGTTGAAACCTTGTTCTTGCAGTTGAGTGCGAACAAAGGTCCATCGCTCTTCAAACTCAGACTGAACGGAGGCCTTTTGAAGGCTCAGACTATCTTCGAAGCCGTTGTTGTCAATCTTCTTCCAGCCGAACAGACGATCGATCTTGTTGAGAGCAACGATGAAAGGTGTCCGTCTGTCCCTAAGAAGCTTCATGGACTCGATGGTTTGAGGTTCAAGACCGTGCATGATATCGATAACGAGGATAGCAATGTTACAGAGCGAAGAACCACGAGATCGGAGGTTGGTGAAAGACTCGTGACCGGGTGTGTCAATAACTAGGAGACCAGGGACGTTGAAAACAAAGTCGTTGTCCTTGTTAACGACGGCAACCTTCTTCTGAAGTGCCTCAACAGGGAAGTAGGTGGCACCAATCTGTTGCGTGATACCTCCAGCTTCGCCTTCTTGTACGTTGGTCTGGCGGATCTTGTCGAGCAGCTTCGTTTTACCGGTATCGACATGGCCAAGAATACAGCAAATAGGAGATCGCAAGTTGTCCTTTGATCGCGCAGCAAGAGCCTCCTCGTGAGCCTGCTTTCGTCGGTCGGCGGCGGCAGCCTTACGAGCGGCTTCGGCTCGCTGCGTGGCGGT